ATGGAGTTTCACCATGTTGCCCAGGCTGCTCCTGAACTCCTGATCTCAAGTGATCTGCCTGCTTCAGCCTCCCAAAGTGCCCAGAGCCACCACAGCTGGCCTTGGAAAATTTTATTGAATAATTATTACTATTGATTTTGGATGATTTTCTCCTTTCCAAATAGTTATTTTTGTTATCTCTGGAATTCTGGTTATTCAGATGTTGTATCCCATAGACTAATCCTTTAATTTTCTTATGTTTTATTTTCCTTTCTTCTATGACCTTTATTTATTTAGAGATGGAGTCTCACTCTGTCTTGCAGGCTGGAGGGCAGTGCACGATCTCAGCTCCCGGCAACCTCTACCTCCTGGTCCAAGCAATTCTCCTGCCTTAGCCTTCAGCACAGCTGGGACTATAGGAGCCACCACGCCTGGCTAATTTTTGTATTTTTAGTAGAGATGGGATTTCATGTTGGCTAGGCTGGTCACGAACCTGATCTCTAGTGATCCTCTTGCCTCTGCCTCCCAAAGTGCTGGGATTATAGATGTGAGCCACCTCACCCAGCCTTATCTCCTTTATTTTTTGCTGTATTTTCTGGGAATTTTTTTCCCCCTTTGCATGTGATCCTCCTACCTAAGCCTCAGAGTCTCACTCTGTCACCCAGGCTGGAGGGCAGTGGCATGATCATGGTTCAGTGCAGCCTTGATATCCTGGACTCAAGGGATCCTCCCACCTCAGCCTCCGGAGTATCGAGGGCTACAGGTGCCTACCACCATATCTGGCTAATTAAATTTTTTTTTATTTTTAGTATTTTAATACAGTTCAAATCGGTGTGTCTGGTTCATTTCAGTTCCTTCACTGTCAAACCCGGGGGCATGGACTGCTTCAGTTTCCCTGCCATCTCTTTGTCAGTAGTGACCAGGGTGTGAAAGTATCTGCTGCATCAAACTTTAAACTTCACATTGTCCTTATTTTTCTTGATCTTGACAGATCTGGCATCCCTTCCTCAGGCCGTGAGCAGAAAGTACTTGATTTCCTCAATTTTCTGAGGCACAGCGACGAGGTGCCCTGGGAATGGGTGTGGACCAGGACAGTGAGCAGCAACTGGGGAAGAGGATGAAAAAGGAAATTTTTGTATTTAATGGTGGGGACAAACAGACTTAGAAGTCTCTGACTTCACAGAGCTTATAGTGTGATGGCAGAAGAAAGACACTGGACAAATTATTAATATTTATAATAATTCTTAATATTGCAACCATGGCCAGGCATGGTGGCTCATGCCTGTAATCCCAACACTTTGGGAGACCAAGGATGACGGATCACCTGAGGGCACCTGAGGTCAGGAGTTCGAGACCAGCCTGGTGAAAATCTATCTCTACTAAAAATACAAAAATTAGCTGGGAGTGGTGGTGGGTGCCTATAGTCCCAGCTACTTGTGAGGCTGAGGCAGGAGAATCCCTTGAACTCAGGAGGCAGAGGCTGCAGTGAGCTGAGTTCAAGCCACTGCACTCCAGCCTGGTCTGTTGAGCAAGACTGAAAAAAAAAAAAAAAAAAAAAAAAAAAAAAAATTAAAAAATATATATTGCAATATTGCAAACATGATGATGTGGCAGTGGAAGGTGGGGACCTAACCTATGTGAGTATCCTGGAAGGCTAAATAAATTCTGTTTAAGTTGGGACTTGAGAGATAAATTTGTTGAAAACAAGGACATTCTACCTGAATGTCCCACAGGCCCCTCAGACTCAAAGGGCAAAACAAACTTAGTAAAGTCATCACCTTATTTTCTAAACCTTTATCTCCTGTGCTATCTATCTCTTCCATGATTGGCATTACCATTTACTCTAACCCAAGTCAGAAATCTGGGAGTTGTCCTATGTTCCATCCACTTCTTCATTGGCTCCTGACCCCACCCACACCACCCTCCATCACCAATTCATGTCCATTCTGTTTCTAACAGGCTTAAATTTACAGAGGCTGGGCCGGGCTCCGTGGCTCACGCCTGTAATCCCAGCACTTTGGGAGGCTGAGGTGGGTGGATCGCCTGAGGTCAGGAGTTCGAGACCAGCCTGGACAACATGGTGAAACTCTGCCTTTATTAAAAATATTAAAAAAAAATTTAGCTGGGCGTGGTGGCGAGTGCCTGTAACTCCAGCTACTCAGGAGGCTGAGGCAGGAGCATCACTTGAACCCGGGAGTTGGAGGTTGCAGTGAGCTGAGATCGTGCCATTGTACTCCAGCCTGGGCAACAAGAGTGAAACTCTGTCTCAAAAAAATAAAATAAAATAAAATCATGGAGGCTGTACTTCTGTTACTCATAGCCCTAATCCACGTAGGTCATCAGTATCTCTCAGCTGTAACGGCTCCTCACTTGCCTCACTGACTTTGGGGCCATCATCACTCTTTAATCTATTCCTCACATTTGTAAAATGCAAATCTTTCCATTATGCTACCGCTTAAAATCTTTCAATGGCTTTCCAGTATGGATAAGGGGAAAAATTGTCCTGGCTGGATGCAGTAGCTCATGCCTGTAATCACAGCACTCTGGGAGGCCAAGGGGTGTGAGTCACTTAAGTCAGGAGTTCAAGACCAGAGACCAGTCTGGCCAACATGGTGAAACCCCATCTCTACTAAAAATACAAAAATTAGCTGGGCGTGGTGGTGCATGCCTGTAATCCCAGCTACTTGGGAGGCTGAGGCAGGAGAATCATTTGAATCTGGGCGGGGGGGTTGCAGTCAGCCGAAATTGTGCCAGCGCACTCCAGTCTGCGTGACAAAATAAGACTCTGTCTCCAAAAAAAACCCATTTTCCTTAACCTGATTTACAAGTCCTCACAATTGAGCTTCCTGCAGCTTCTTACTTCAGCCAAATGCTATTTGGACTAGTTATAGTTCTCCAAAGGCCATGCCCTTTCTGCTCCCCTGTACCACTGTATTCCTTATTCTCTTGAGTATATATATATATTTTTTGATATGGAGTTTCCCTCTTGTTGCCCAGACTGGACTTCAATTGCACAATCTTGGCTCACTGCAACCTCCGCCTCCTGGGTTCAAGTGATTCTCCTGCCTCAATCTCCATAGTGGCTGGGATTAGAAGAGTGGGCCACCATGCCCAGCTAATTTTTGTGTTTTTAGTAGAGACAGGGTTTCACTACCTAGGCCCGGCTGATCTTGAACTCCTGACCTCAGGCGATCCGCCCATCTCAGCCTCCCAAAGTGCTGGGTTTAAAGGCGTGAGCCATTGCACCCTGCCTATTTTACTCACTTCTACCTAAACTTCACTTATCTTAGCTCAAGAATGTGAAGTTGCCCAGGCGCGGTGGCTCCTGCCTGTTATCCCATCACTTTGGGAGGCCTAGGCGGGCGGATCACCTGAGGTCAGGAGTTCGAGAGCTGCCTGACCAACATGGAGAAACCTCGTCTCTACTAAAAATACAAAATTAGCTGGGTGTGGTGGTACCTGTAATCCCAGCTACTCCAGAGGCTGAGGCAGGAGAATCGCTTGAATCTGGGAGGCAGAAGTTGTAGTGAGCTGAGATAGCGCAGCCTGGGCAACAAGAGCAAAATTCTGTCTCACACACACACACAATGAATTTTCCCGCTATTACCCTTATTCCATGACAGTTTTTCCTATTTTGAATTTCCTTAGCAGTATTACTATTATTTATTTATTTATTTTAAAGATGGGGTTTCACCATGATGGCCAGGCTGGTCTTGAACTCCTGACCTCAGGTGACCCACCCACCTCGGCCTCCCAAAGTGCTAGGATTACGGGCGTGAGCCACCGCACCCGGCCCTATTATTTATTTTTTAAGATGAAATCTCACTCATTGCCCAGGCTGGAATGCAGTGGTGTGATGTCTGCTTACTGCAACCTCTGCCTCTCAGGTTCAAGCGATTCTCCTGCTTCAGCCTCCCAAGCAGCTGGGACGGCCATCATGCCCCTCTAATTTTTGTATTTTTAGTAGAAATGAGGTTTCGCCCTGTTGGCCAGGCTGGTCTCGAAATCCTGGGCTCAAGTGATCCACCTGCCTGATCCTTCTAAAGTGTTGGAATTACAGGCGTGAGCCACCGCGCCTGGCCGAAACTATTCTTAAAACTTTCTTTCTTTTTTTTTCCTTTTTATTTTGAGACGGAGTTTCGCTCTGTTGCCCAGGCTGGAGTGCAATGGCGCGATCTTGGCTGACTGCAACCTCTGCCTCCCGGATTCAAGCGATTCTCCTGCCTCAGCCTCCCGAAAAGCTTGGATTACAGGCGCACACCTCCACGCCCGGCTAATTTTTGTATTTTTAGTAGACGCAGGGTTTCACCATCTTGGCCAGGCTGGTCTCGAATTCCTGACCTCAGGTGATCCGCCCGCCTCGGCCTCCCAAAGTGCTGGGATTACAGGCGTGAGTCACCACGCCGGGCCAAAACTTTCATTGTATCATAATTTCTTCAAGGAAAAGCCGTGACTCTTAAATCTACTATAGCACAGAGTTACAGATTCTTAAAAGATCGTCGATGCATAAGCGCAGACGGTAAAGCTCAGCGCGTGCGCCGGGCACCTTTTCCCTTGCGGCGACTCTTTTTTTTTTTTTTTTTTCCGGAGCGTGCGCACGAAGATAGACAAAGGTGGGGAAAGTGACCCAGCAGTCGTTCAGGCGCATGCCCATCCCTAACTCTTCCGAGCCTAGTGTGGCTGGCGGCGGCGGAGTGGGTGTGGCCTGAGCGCTGTGTGACTATGTGGCCGACGCCCAATCGGACTGAGGGAGCCCGGCCCCTCCCTCCCCTTGATTGGTTGATTCTCAGTGTTGTGGGGCGGGGAAAGGAAGAGACCGGGCGGTGGAGTGGTGGGGCGGTGAAGAAAGAAGGCTAATCTTGTTCTGCGCAAGCGCCAGGATGCGACCAGGAGGGGGCGTGAGAGAGTGAAGGGGAATGTGGAAGCCCCGATGCGCTGGCGAGCGCTAGCTGGGGCTCTAACCTTGACGCCTGCGCCGTGGCCCTCGGGGCCCCGCGCGCAGCGGGCGGGTGCCCGGTGCGCCTGCGCAGTAGGCGGTGGTGGCAGGGGGAGGTGGAGGCTGTGGAGCGGCAGCGGCAGCGGCGGGTCCCGGGACTGAGGCAGCAGCGGGGGCGGCGGCGGGCGGAAGCTGAGGTGACGAAGGCAGCGGCGGCGGCGGCCGTTTCCCTCACGGTGGCGGAGACCAAGGCGGCGGCGGCGGACGGGGAGCGGCCCGGCCCCGGCCCCCTGCTCGTTGGCTGTGGCAGGGCCGCCGTGGGACCGGCCCGGCTCCCGCCCCCCGCGGCTCCCCCTCCAGCTCCTCCTCCGGGGAGACGCCGGGGGCCTGGCCCGGCCCGCACTCAGACTGCTGCTGCAGCCGCCGCCGGGGGAGTCGGAGGCGGTGGCGGCGCCATGGGCGGCCTCGCCTCTGGGGGGGATGTGGAGCCGGGACTGCCCGTCGAGGTGCGCGGTTCCAACGGGGCCTTCTACAAGGTGAGACGGCGCGCCGACTGGGGACACCGGTCCTTAGCCTCCTACCCCGGCCGGAGCTGGGACGCGTGGGGCGGGATCGAGCTTTCGGAGCTGAGTCCTGACCCTTAGAATCTTAGACCCTTCCTCCCACCCGCAGCCCTCCCTGGGATACCGCTTGGAGTGAACCCTCTTCCTTTTATTTTGACCCCTCAAATGCACCTGCTTCTACCCCCATCTCAGGGAGAATGAACTTCAGGCCGTTATTGTCCCTGGCTTGGCGCTCCCTGCCCCCCAGGAGAGACCCTTTTACCCAGCTGCTAATCGACTGTTCCCGTTGTCTGTTGGAAGACATACCTTAGACCTTAATCACATCTTCCCCACCGACCAAGCACATGGAGAATTGTCTTTCTTCTTCCACACGATCCCCTTGGGAAGGCCCTCTGTCCCATATCAGATCCTTTCATCTCCCTCAAAGAGGCATCTGCCTACTGGCTCTGGAACACTCACCCACTTTCATCTTATATTCTGGTTCCTAAGCCAAGGAGAAATGGTCAAAATCCATTTACGACGTTTGGCATCTTTGACCTCAGGAATCCTGGGTTGGATCAGTTAAGTTGCCTCCCAGCCAGCCATAAGGCGGCATCTTTTCGCAAGTCTCTCACCCCACCCCACCTTGATCTCAAGGCCCACTGGTCTACCGTTCTACCCAGGGATGGATTTGAGGTCTCACTTAGACCTCAGATGCCTTCAGGTCATTCATATAGTTTCTTCATCTTGAGGCATGTAAGCTTCAGATTCATAATCTCTAAAAGGAAGTTCATGAGGTTCGCTTCTGTTTTTCTTAATATTTCCGCTTCTCGAAGACTTTTGGCCAACTATTCTAGTTCGGGAATCTGACAGCCTTTTTTGGAAGAAGGGATCATCTTTCAAAGACCCTTTCTTATTTCACCTCTCCCTTTGCCCAGGATTTGGTTCCTTAGAACTCCTTGTAATACCACCTTCTTTATCTGCTCGGAATCCATTTTCTAGGACATTTTTTCCCATTTAGATTAAGCCAGAGAGAGCCCTTTCTTGCCTCCCAAGAATTTTCCTTTGTGTGACTGTTGCTATTCTGAACCTCTTTTGGATTTGATGCCTGGAATTGTCCCAGAGACTTTCCTGATTTCTGTCTCATTCTTTGATTTCACCCTGGGGAGCTGGAGAAGAGATAGCTTCCCATGGCATCACTTGTTAAGAGTGGATCCCTCTTCCCCGTTTCCTTCAGTTCCTCTCAGGCCCTTTTCCCCCACAGTTGTCCTCTCTAATTTCTCATGCCCTTGGAAATGTCTTTCTCTGATTCCTTCCGTAAGTCATATTTTTCTATAACTGCAGAGGGTCTTGTAATTTCCCTTGGGTGGTTTCTGCCTCTACTTCAATTGCTGAGTTCATTGTAGTCATTTTTTACTCACTCTGCATGCTGATCTGTTTTTGCCTTACTTCTTTCATCAGATTTTCTTGTGTATGGTGACTGTGGGTACCCATGTCTAACTTACCTTGTCAATTCAAGTTTCTGGCTTTTCCTCCTAATATTTCTGTATTCCTGTGTAATCCCCAGGAATTATCTTATTCCCTCTCTAAGCTGAAGGAGGCTCCCAGTTGATCTCTTTTGTCATTTTCTGCATACTTGCCTAACTCTTGGGACTTTTTCTTCTAGTCTGACTCCATAGCATTTCTGTTTTCTTTGGCAAAAGTCTCTAATTCCTTTCTGCTTTTGATAGAGCACATTTGTCTCTCATATCCTTTTTCCCAAATTGTATTACCTTTGTTGAAATAGGCTTCCTTAAGTGGCCCTCCCTGCTTCCCTCGGTATCTTTCCATCTGAATCCTTACCACCCCCTAATTCTGGGTTCTAAGAAAAGTGATTCTTAAATTGAGTCCAAGATCAAGATATGTTTGCTTTGTTCTAGGAAGCTTGGGAGCTCCACACAGCTGGGAAAGATTGGTATCCAGTTCAAATGAACTGTATGAGATGGCTGGGAAGGGACACATTTTCTGTTCCACGTATGAGTATCCAGTAGAAAGTCTGTGAATCTTTTCCCTTTCTCCTGTGTACTGTGGCAATGATAGACTTGAGTAGATGGGGACCAGGATACTCTGATTCAGAGAGTAGAGTTTGGGGTTGAGCTGAAAGTGAGGTAATGTGGTAATGTGGATCTGGGCAGGTTAGCAGTTTTTGCCCCATTCCTGAGTTAGAAACAACAAATCCCTAAATTCAGGCTAATCTTCAACTCTCAGTACCTTATAGATATTATCCATTCTGACCTTGCTACTGATTTAATATTCATGACTCAGCAAACTTTGGTATGGGTCAGGGAGTGTTTATACTGCTTCTGGGAAGGTACTTTTCTCCTCTCTCAGAAGTGGGCCCTGTTGTCAGTTTTCTTTT